CAGCAGATGATTGGGAAATTCTGGTAATAAAACCTTTTCCACTGTTCACGTTCTTTTTCTTACAGATAACAGAGATTCTGACACAAGCAGTTTTTTGCACAATGTCCCATTCTTTTCAGCCCCTAAGGAAATACTAAATGTGGTGGGGTTTAATTGTATTTTATATTTCAAATGGTGCATTAGAGATGTAGAGTTTTTATCTTCAAGCAAATGTTTAAAATATATGCAGTATTTAATTTATAATTATGCCATGTTTTCCCAGGAACTGCATGCTTCCTCTCTTGAAAAGCATCTTCTTGACCAGATTCGAATAGTATTTCCAAAAGCCATCTTTCCTGTATGGGTTGAACAGCACACTCACGTTTACATCAAAATTGGTAAGCAATAGTGAAGGCTCTTGTGGCACCCTGAGTAAGCTGTTTCAAAGAGTGGATGCATTCATTGACCTGCTTTGTTCATACTCAGGTACACTTATGCCAGCAGCCCCCTATGGGAGATTAGAACCGTGCACGGAGCTTCTGATACGTCCCAAAACACGTGAACTGGAGGAAAATATCACCAGCCTGCCTTCCACAGAAAGTGACATCTTGCTCAAAAATTTTGTGAAAAATAATGTGGAGCAAGAAGAAACAGTAAAGGATCCTTTTGCCAAACAACCTTACTTAAAGCCGGGAGTCCTTGAACAGCATAAGGCTGATGCAAACATGGCATTTGGCTCAAATGTTCTCCCAAATATATGGAATTTCATAGGAAGCATTTTCTCTCATACATCTGAGCAGAAACAAAAGGCTTTGTGTGATAAAGATGAAATGAGCAGGTTCAAAGACAAGCTGCTGAACTTAATTCACATGGATTCTATTTTTAGAGTATGTCAGTGCCAGCCTCCCAGCGTGCAGAATGCCTCTGCCACTCATGCATTTCTGAAGTGCAACGCTATTCATGTTTTTCCGTGGAATTTAGAATTTATTGATTTGGATCCAAATCCTGTAGTATCTTATGGGAGAATTAGTGAGCTGCTTTCCCCAAGACAGCGTCATCAAGAAGCAAAGCAAAGTTTGCCATTTGAAAAGCAAAAGCATTTGACTGGTACGCAAGACAAAAATCATTCTAATTCTAGTAGCAGTCAAGCATCCAGTGAGGGATCTGTTGTTCAGATCGTTTGGAATGGATTTGAAGACCTAAAGAATGTCATAGAGTATGGCCACAGTGGGGAAGCCCTACATGTTGGAAGAGTTTGGGTCAGTTTGAGCACACTGTCTTTGGGGCTTTTTATTGGATAATATTTTCTATTGGGTAATTGTGGAACTGGCTAGTTAACGCAGTTTTGGGATGTAGACTTTGTGTTAAGCTCTCAAGCACAGTATGAGAGAATCAAATAATAATTACTAGAGCTGTGCTGTGCTAAGCTGTCTCATTCTGGACTACATTACTTACCATGATCCTCCAAGATGTATGGTGTACTGTGGGTTTCTGCACCCTTAGCATTTTTTTCACCAAATGGGGAAAATTCTTCAGTATTTCTGGAGAGAGTGCACCCTTTCTTCAAAATCTGTTGGTAGCTGTTGTATTCATGAGAACATGAAAGTACCTACATTCAGTACTGCATAATGAGATTTGTTTCATCAGTTAGCACTTTGAAATGTGTTTTGGACTCCAGGTATCATCAAACTGGAAAGTAATGGGATCAGGTATCCTAGTGCTACATGATGTTTGTGAGTTCTTTTATATACTCTTTAAAATACATTAAAAATTAATATAAAATAACTAGTTTTCATATCATTTAAACTATTTTAGTTTTTATATACTATTTTGCAAGGTGACACAAGTCCCAGTGTGCAGACACTGACATTTCAGCTTGTTCTGATAGAACTCTAGCCTGCTTATGTTCCTTCTTTCCTGGAAGCACGTGTAGGATCAACAAAAATAGATAAAATGCTTTTTATTTTTATTTTTTTAAATGCTTTTTATTTATTATTTTTATTTATGCACCATTTGACTATTTTGACATCATGTACTTCTCACTATTTACTTATTTTTTTGTTGAGAATGAGTGTGAGAGCCTGCAGTGGTTTTTACTACTAAATCTTTTGAGAGACATAACAATTTTCTAAATGCCAGCAACCATAAAGTCTTTCAGACTTAATAAACATTTATGAGATGTTTTCAATTTGGATATACTTTCAAAATAACACAGAATATTTGAAAAGTAGTTTCCTTTTTAAAAGGGTAAACTGATGAGCCCAATTTAGGGAAATTGGATTTTCTCTGTCTGTGCTGCACATCTGCTTAGTTATGATATGTATAATGGCCTATTTATATTTACCTGCCCATGTAAAATTAATTTAATCAGCAAATGGAAGTAGAGTTGTTTTATTTCTTCTATACTAACAGCATTCTTACAACATTCTAAGAAGTCTCCTAACTGTTCTTTTTCAACCTTTTGGTTTTTATTTAAAGAAGTTAGTAGATGGTCAGCTATAGTGAGCACTTTCACAAATAGGATAAGAGGCAATGAGAAGTGTGCATGAGAGAACAAGATTTGGATACCACTGTCAATTTTATGGTTTCTTCTTAATTCTCTTGCAGATTACAACCAACAAACAGATTGATGATCAAATGTAGAGGTTCTGCTAGTGATGAAGAAACTGAAGAAACTGATGTACTATATATGCAGTGTTAATACCTGTTTTATTTTCTGATATTTCTTTTTTTTTTTGCTTTTATTTTAAATATTTCAGATTCCAGATGGTCTGAGAAAAAAACTACATATTGAAATACATTCAACGGTCCGAATTAAGTCAGTTGAATCTATTCCAAACATTCCTGTATCTCTTAGACTGCAACCCAAACAGAACTTAGTGAGTTGATATTCTTGGTCACATATTTGTTCATATGTTGGAAAACTGATAATGTTGCTGTAGTGAAGGTTGGAGTGTTTTAGTGTTTATTTGTTTTCATTTGTTAGATAATAGTTTGGAAGTTCTGTCATGTATGACATCATTTTAAAGGAATTTCTTTTTTGAATAATTCCTTGCTTTTTCTTTTTACTGTGTAAGTAATTTAAATTAAGAAGATGCTATGATCTGCTTAAACAAGGTTTATTTAGTAATGCTGTTTTGTATTTGATCAATGATACTGTAAATGTCAAGCCATTTAATTTTGTTTTGTAAATGTCAAGCCATTTAATTTTGTTTTGTACTTGGTAAATATTTAAAATAGTTTGGTGTGTTATCGGTAATTATTTCCTTTATAAAGGAACTGGCAGAGGTCACAGAGGGTGGAGGAAATAGAACTTTTTGATACCTACTTTCCTGAAGCTATAGAGGAATACTGTATAGTATCTTTTAAATCATAGGGTCTTCCGTTGTTCTCAAATTGTGAAAATTTCTGATGTCTTTCTTACTAAAAAGGATGTTGACATCATGAAGGAGAAACAGTGTTGGTAGGGAAAAGATGCATTTTCTGTTGTAAGTCTCAAACATAAACAATTGCTTTCAAAATAGCAACAATAATCAATAATAATTTTGCATCAGGCTCTCATCTGCAGTACTTTAATACTCATTCACACCTAGCAAATTTTAAGTGTATACATTAAAGCTTATAAAAACAAAAGCAAAAAAGAAAAATAATCATAAAGAGGAAGTATCCATTTTAAGTCTTCTGGGAGAAGACATGCTTAGACTCTTTGAATGTTGCAGTGCCCAGTGGATTTCTTAAGAAAGACAGTAAAATTACTATAATTTTTTATGTCCTGTTTAGGTTTTTACTTCTTTTTAATGTTGATGGTTTTTTCCCCTCATGCTCAAGATTTAATTTTCCAGAGTTATACAATTGAATCCCTCTGTTTTGCTGTGAGACATATCCAGTCTTCTGAGTCAATCTGTGACAGTAAGAACATACTTAGTATCAGTTCTCACAGTCTGAAATGAGGTATTTCTTCGTAATGTACTGTATGCTTGTTTCTCTGCAACACTGGAGTGATTATTTCCCATGTTAGCTGCACCTCAAAACTTTAAATACAGCACTTCCCATCATAGCAGGGCCTATCCATGGTTTGTTCTTTATCCCAAATATTCTATTTTTGGTTTCTTACCTACAGAAGAATGATTGAACTGCATTATATATATATATATACACACACACATATATATATATGAGTTAAAAGAAATATTCTGTCAATAATTTGCTAAAATTGTACAAACTAGTTATATGTGCTTCTATATGTTTTAAAAACAGATTCTCCCTTTCTTTCTAATTCAGTTGAAGGTTTTTTTAGTGCTTTGAACAAACCAGACAAACATAGAAAGAAATAATGACAGCAACTTTCATTTTCCTTTCTGAACATTGCTTCCATGATTTCACAGACTCACAGAATGTCAGGGATTGGAAGGGACCTCGAAAGATCATCCAGTCCAATCCCCCTGCCAGAGCAGGAGCCTAAATGAGATCACACAGGAAGGCGTCCAGGCGGGTCTTGAATGTCTCCAGAGTAGGAGACATTTCAGTTGATTCCCCCTTTTTCAGACAGGAATTATGCTTCCGTGATTAGGAACTCGGCTAAGATATATGTGATCTAAACTCAACTTCTTTTCTTCTTCCATTTATCTAGGTGATCTGGGATAAGTTGTTTGATCTCTTTGTCTGCCTGTTGAAGTTTATTGTTGGTGCCCCTCATCTAGATGAGCTCAGGCTCCTTTGTATAGGAAGCAGAGTATATGGGAAAGAGAGGGGTACAATGAGCACCAAAAATAAGTCACAGGTCAATATTGTTGCATATCTTGGGTGCTCTTTCAAACCCAGGAGACGAGTAGTGCTCATTTTTGTTGGCAAAACATTATTTTTCATATAAATAAAACTCTTATATCTTCTTCCATCTCTCTGCTACCATAAGAGAAACAAAGGCCTCATGCAGAGGAAGAAAACAGTTTTACTTACTAACAACTTGTTTTGTTTAATTTTCCTCTTTCTTTTTTCCAATTTAGCATAAAGATATACATGAAGATGATGTTAAATCTGCTTTCAGTTCTTGGCTGCAGGATTCTGCTACTGATGATCTCCCATGGATAATGACAAGCACAGACTGTATACATCTGTCTGTTAAAGAAGGTAAGGGTATTAGTTTCATGTGTGGTAGCTGTCTTAACTGTCCATTATGGAGTTTACTTAGGCAATATGCCATTTCATCTCTGTATACAACATCTAACGTAACAGATATTTCTTTACACTGAAACTGTAAGCATGAATTATGCTTTTATAATGATTATCCTTTTTAATTCTTTCATTTGGGCTTATATTTTAATATTTCAAAATACACTAATCTGTTTAATCTTGTGAAGAATACAACTTGAATTTATTTTAAATTTTAATAGTTGTTGCTTGGGTTTTTACAGGAATGGAGGAGTTTGTCCTTCGTGCAGTGCATCCTATGCACATGGAAGAAAATAAGTCTGAAAGTATTTTTATGCTGAGTCCCAGTTTGCTGCAAAAGACTAATATACAAGTAAATATCACATAGTATCAGGTATCAAGTAATTTAAATTGTTATATTTGGTTAAAAATGCAGTACATTTTTTATATATTGTCTTTTGGTTTCCCTTTTAAAATAAATAATGTTAGTCCATTCATTAAATTATATCTGTGTTCTTTACATGTTAGTTTATAGCCTGAGGCATTGGTGAGATCCGAGGCATGTCACACTTGTCATTGAATTTCATAGTTTGTATCAGACTCTCAGAAAAATCAATTAAAGCAGGGTAAAGTCAGTACTGTCCAAGTTTGAACATACTGTCCTTATACTTAGTTGTTCTTTCCCTTAATTCATAAACCTTTGTAATATCACTTCTTGGTGTATCTGTCAGGGACAGAAGCTTGCTCTGACAAAGATGAGACATATTCCCCATTTAAACCTACCAAGCCTTCTCTTTTCTGTAGTTTCTGTGCCTTCTGTTTCTTCAGTCTTTCCTTTCAGAAGAATAAATATTTCTGTTTGATATTAGGATTACTGTTTCCATTAATATTTCTGGTTGAACCAGTGCCCATGACTCCACAGTTATGGTTATAAGAGTGGGATAACATTTTTTCATTTTTAAGCTCGTACAGTTAAGTTTTAGCAGAGAATTAAGATGTCCTGGTTTTGCTGTTTAGAATAGAATTTTTCTGCAAAATTTAAGATTCCTGTTAAAAAAAAAATTAAAGAGCTTTATTTCTACTGATAGTAGAGAAGTACAAGAAGTTTTCTACAAATTGTGCTAGTGACTGGTACTGATATGAAAGGGCAAACTGCATTTCTTAATAGCAGTGTCAGCATCTCTTACCAGCCTGTTCTTATCTGTGAACCTGTTAGCCCTGTTTGCCTGCTCCCCAGTGAACTAGACTGAAAAATCCATGTGGGTGAAAAAAGCCAGGTGTTTTGTCAGGTTACTTTCCACCCAGATCAGACTCCTGATCTGATTTGCTATCTTGCCCAACAGGTGCTTATGCCTGCACAACAGGG